TAAAAGTCTCTCCTATGCCAGACCTTCAATCGCTTGTTAAGAATATAAAATGTCTGCCCCTTCCCTTGACATACTGAATCACAATCATTAGCCAGTGAGCATGACTGTGTGTTTTGAAAGCTCCACAAGGGTTTCTGATAATTAGATTTGGAAACCAATTCAGAAGATTCACTTATGTGGAGATTGTGTAATACAGTAACATGGTGATTCCCAATCCTGGGTGCACATTAAAATCACTGGAAGGGCTGAGAAAAACAAAAAAACCCTGATGCCTGGGCCTTACCCTTAGACCAACTTGAATCTCTGTAGGTACGGCCCCAGCATCTGTGTTATTTAAAACTTCTCTAAGTAATGGAGGAAAGGAGTGCTGATGGCACAATGCCTAAGGCATGTGACTGCTAATCAGAAGGTTGGCAGTTCACATCCACTAGCCACTCTGCGGAAGGAAGATGGGGCAGTTTACTTCCATAATGATTTATCACCTCAGAAACCCAATGGTTTGCTATGAATTGCAATTAACTCGATGGCAGTGGGTTTTGTTTTGGTTTTACGTAATGCAGGCAGGCTAGGAGCTGTGTGAAGGGCAGGGGGGAGGGTTTACAAAGGGGTATGAGGAAACTTTGGGAGGTGATGGGTATGTTCACTATTTTAATTGTGATTGTTCCATAGGTATGTGCCTGTGCAAAACTTACCAAATTGTATACTAAGTATGTGCAGTGATTGCATGTCAGTTACACACCAGTGAAGATCTTTAAAGAAGTACTGGTAACATAGTGGTTAAGCTCTCGGCTGCTAATGGAAAGGTGGATGGTTCGAACCCACCGGCTGCTCTGCGAGAGAAAAATGTGGCAATCTGCTTCTGTGAAGACTTAAAGCCTTAGAAACTCTGTGGGGCAGTCCTACTCTGTTGCACAGGGTCACTATGAGTGGGAATTGAGTCTATGGCAGTGGGTTGGGTTTGGTTTTGGAAAGCTATTTAAAGAAAAGGCTCCCCCAGGTGATCCTGATGCACATCATTGTTTCCAACAGAAAAGGATTGAAAGTGGGAGTTGGATAGACTTCCATCTGCCAACAGTTGGCTGTACATGCTTAGACAAGCAACGTCTCCCCCTCTGGACCTCAGTTTCATTCTGAGTTGCTGGGTTTAATTTCTTCTCTAGGCCTTTTCAGCTCTGTTGTTGTGTGCCGTGGAGTTGGACCCGACTTGTAGCAACCCCCCCCCTTGGGTTTCTGAGGCAGTATCACTACGGAAGTAGATTGCCCAGTCTTCTTCCGAGGAGTGGCTGGTGGGTTTGAACTGCCAGCCTTCTGGTTAGCAGTCAAGTGCCTTAGGCACTACACTACCAGAGCTCCCTTTCAGCTCTAGCATTTGGATTCTGCTCAGCCTGGCAGTGTGGACTGGGCTGCTGGTGCACCTCCAGGCCACATGAGGGAGCTGTGCAGCTGGCTGACTCATCGTCTCAACAGAACACACTTGTGAAGTCAAAATAGACTCATCAGTTGTCTTTCCCTTATTTCTGTGCTCATCCTTTGGTGAGTGCAACCCCCCTTCTGAGTGATCCTTTTCAGCTGTCCCCACTCACTGGTCCAGCTGCAGGTGAGCCTTTCTTTAAGTAGTGCTGACCCACGAATCTCTGAATGTATAGAACAGCTTCATTAAAGGATCCCCAGATTGCTTTCAAAATATCCAGCTTCTCCACAGCAATTAAAATAGGTTCTAATTGGAGTATGTGTGTGTGTGTGTGTATTTCAGGAGCACATTAACAATATTACTCTACTGTCCCTAGGAAAATTCTCCATCCATATGAAAGGCAGTTATGTGTTTGTCATAGGTGCAATTTCTAGATCCTTTAGGGAGTAAATTTTGCTTAGGTGAAAAGAGGAATCAAGGTTAGCAACTAAGTCGTCTTTTTTTGTGGTAATATGTAAAGTGCTTAAATGGGTAAATGAAAATGTGTGTGTGTGTGTGTGTGTGTGTGTTAGGGCTTCGAACTGGTTCTTCCTGGTTCAGTCATGGCTAAGACTCAAAACCAGAACAGACTTGAATTTTTAATATTTGGGTGAACTGGAACGATAACCAGAATGGAAAAAATTATGGGTCGAAGCCTTGCTAGAAACATCATCTCCCTCATAGAAAACAAGGGCAGCATCGACCTTGGGCTTCTGCTCTGCCTGTTGTTCCCGACCCACTTAAGCTGGGGGCTTTTCTTCACTCAGGCAGCTGCAGGATGCTGAGGCTGACAAACTCAAGGTCAACAAGTAAAAAGGCACAGTCCGGATATTACCAAACTGCACGGCAGGCCCCAAATTCAAGTCCAGAAAAGGTCCCAGGAGTGGCAGGGCATGGCAGGCTGCTGAACAATGACTTGGCTACACGCAGCGTTCGAGCATGCCAAAAAGCCAGAGACCTACCTCAGAGCTGCTGCTTATATACTGGAAGCAGACCACATCACTACATCCAGCTGTCCAGCCACTCAACCAGGCTGAGCAAGTTGATACACAACCTTAACTACCACAGAGACTGACTGGAACTAACATTACAGAAACCATCTAGCTATAACACTAACTTTAATAATGGCATTGTTTTAAATCCAGCTCAGAAATGAAAAGTAAGAGTGCATGGGAGGGAAGGACACAGGGAAGAGGGTAACTATGGGGAGGAAGTGGGAAGAGAGCTGTTGCATTGTGGGAAACTGCAGTCAGTGTCATGAGACAAAATGTGTATGAAATGCTGTATGGAAAATGAATATGCTCTGTGAACTTTCACCCAAATCACAATAAAAATTAAAAAAAAGAAATGAAAGCAAATGTTTTCCCAAAGTGTAACAGCAACAGTGATATCAAAAAAGAGAGGCACTCCTGAGTTTCCAAACAATGCTATAAGAACTTTAACATTGACTAGCTTTGTCTCTTTATTTTTCATTTTATTGCAGTTCTTGCTTTTTGTTTCCTAAATTTCAGATTATTCTATGAGCCAGTTACAACACCTTGTGGACATACCTTTTGCTTAAAATGCCTTGAAAGATGCCTGGATCACAACACGAGGTGCCCACTCTGCAAAGATGGTCTTTTACAGGTAAAACAATATTTCTTTCTTGATGGAATGATTTTATTTGGAATTAGGTACTAAGACACCATCCAAATAGGACCCCAGGAGCTATGGCATTGTGCTAGGGAAAAATACTCCCTCAACACCATCTGTTTCTCTTGTCTTACAGCCACCTTCTCCCTTCTTCACAAAGTTCTTCAGAAAAATGAGGCAAGGTCTAGCTTTTTATTAGTTGCCGGTTGGGAAATGAATTTGTTTTAGAAACAGAGCTTCAAATTCGTTCATTCCAGTTCGACCCTCTGCTGAGAATTTGCATTTCCATCCCAGATGTATCTATAGTTTAACAAGATCCCTAGGGGATTCTTATAGCTTCCCCAGATGTCTACATAAGAAGCACCTGGGAATTCGTTAAAGCGTAGATTCTGATTCAGTGTATCTGCAGTGGAAACATGTAGATTCTCAGCAGGGGGTTGAACTGGAGTGAACTTGTTGGGAGCCCTGGTTAGAAATAAAAGTATTAGCTAATCAGCTGCTAAAGGAGGTCTGGTGGGATAATGCCTAAGGCATTTGACTGTTATCCAGAAGGTTGGTGGTTCGAACCCACCAGCCACTCTGCAGAAGGCAGACTGGGCAATCTGCTTCTGAAAAGATTTATCACCTTGGAAACTCAATGGGGGTTGCTATGAGTCGGAATCAATTCGATGGCAGTGAGTTTGGTTTTGGGTTTGAGTCAGATAATAAATATAAATCCTTATTCTAATCACAGCATGTCAGGTACTTGACTCACTGTAATCTTGGGTGAATCTTTTGCCCTCTCTGGGCTTGGACTAGATAAATTTTGAAATCCCTTTATCATTGATGTTTATTCCATGGTTTAAAGAGATTAGCTTCCAGGTCCCAAGAGAAACCTTGCAGACGTCTAGTGTGATCCTGGTCCCACCTTTGGTGTGCAAATAACTGCACTTATCTGCAGATACTTTGTGATTTCAAAAGCCCAAGACATTCAGATCCTCCAAAATTAATCACATGACCCCCTACCTTCATTTTTAAAGTGCCTTTGATAGAATGTCTAGCTAAAAAGGATCCTTGACCTCTGCATCCCTGAGGAGAGCTGGGAACTCAAGACTATTTCTTTGTGAATGTAGGTCCAGAGAAGTCACATGTTGAGCTTTCCTGACACCCTGATATTTAAACTCAGGGAATGAAATGAAAATAAACATGAAGGGTAGCTTTGAGGATATGTACTGGAGTTGGGGAGCAGGTCATTATTACAGCCTTCCATAGGTAAAGGGGTGGGATTTGCTGGGCTGATTGTAAGTGAGCAGCTCATTGTCTTTGTACCTGATTAAATCATACATTTGCATTGTGGCGGTAACACTGCAAAATTGAGAGAAGCAGAAAGAAGAAAAATTGACCCAGATGCTCATCACTTAGAGAAGAGCACTGTTAACATTTTAGTATGTACCTTTGCTAAGTTTAAGGATCCTTGGTGGCACAGTAGTTAAAGCATGGTGGCACAGTAGTTAAAGCACCTGGCTGCTAACTGAAAGGTCAGCAGTTCAAACCCACCAGCCACTTCACATGAGAAAGATGTGGCAGTCTGTTTCCATAAAGATCGACAGCCTTAGAAACCCTATGGGGAAGTTCTACCTTATCCTATAGGGTCACTGTGAGTTGCAATTGACTCAGTAGCAGTGGGTTTGTTTTTTGATTCCTAGGTTTTTTGTTTTAGCATCAGTTGAAGGGTCACTTCTTCTCAGATTGGCTACCTCCTGAGTCAACTGCTTTTCTCCAAAGACTGGGACCCTAGTCAAAGCAGCTGGTTCATCTGTAGGCAGGGGATGGTAGTGGGTGATAGGATCTCCTGGAGGCAGATGCTGTGGGGTCCTGGACTCAAGGGCCAAAAGACGGGTTCATCTATCTCTGTATTGACACAGGGTCACACAGCATTTTATAAAGAGATAAATACCTTCCAATCACGTTCACTGCAGAATAGACAGCCATAGCCCATCTTGGGAAAGGAAAAGTGTTATCTGAAGCATGCAGTTTTATACTCAGGAGTGCCCCCTGCTGGGTCTGTAGAGATTGTTCCATAGTGAGCAGTTTTCTACCAAGTTTAAACTGCCCTTGTCTGATAGTGAAGGAGTTCTGGTGGCACAGTGGTCAAAGCATTTGGCTGCTAACCAAAAGGCCAGCAGTTCAAACCCACCACTTACTCTGTGTGAGAAAGATGAAGCAGTCATCTTTACAGTTTCCGTAAAGATTTACAGCCTTGCAAACTCCGTGGGCCAGTTCTACTCTGTCCTATAGGGTCACTGTGAGTCTGAATCACTCAACAACAATGAGTTTAGTTTTGGTTTTTGTCTGCTGGTTCATACCATTAAATACCCACAGTTTACAGATCCCTGTATATACATGGTTTATAACACCATTCAGTAATAACTGGATGGTACATTAAAAAAGCAAATAGACAAACAAGCAAACAAAATCACCAGTATTCAGCCTTTAAAAAAAAAAAAAAAAAACACTAAAGTTGAACAGACCTGTAGATTTGCAATATCCCAGAGCTAAGCATTGGGTTGGGGTGAGGGTGGGGGTGTGGCAGGAAAGGCTCAATGATCAAAATGGCTTTTGCATTCCCTGAGCCTTGCAATCACTAACTTTCAGCACATGGACACCATTTCTGTTGGCTGGTAAACACACTAACCAGCAACAAGGAAAGGGAGGGTTTTTTTTTTTTCTTCCTGTTTTGACAAGAACATGATCTCAATTTCAGTGTTTCAGGAAAGCTATGAGATTTTTAAACCTTCAATGCATTTTTTTCCTTGTTATTTTTTTTCTCTAATTCTAAAAGTAATTCATTGCATGTGTTTCTTCAACTGAACTCGAACACCCAGAAAATACATACATGGTGATTTTATTAGCTGCTAATTTGAGGGTCCAAGTTACTGTCATGTGAGTATTTGACCCTACTGATCACATCAGAAGTAATTTGTGTTTTTCCAACAACTGCACAACATCTGTTTGTTCTTCCCCATACAGTGCTTGGGATTAAGAAAATACAGCAAAACTGTAATAATGGAAGAGCTAATAGCTAAATTCCTTCCAGAAGAATTCAATGAAAGAAGAAGGCTTTATGAAGAAGAAATGAAAGAACTTTCTAAGTATATAAAAATATATGCATGTTTCTATTTTTTGTTACATTCATACCATCTTGTAAGAGCTGAATGTGTATTTCTCTCCCCCTCTCCTCTTTCAGCAGATAGCATGAAATTGGCCATGGTGGGGGTAATTACACCATAGAAATTGGTAAATGCTACAAACCAGGGCTTATTTCTCTCTGAGAGCTAGTTGTTAAACATTTACCAGCACAGCACTGAGAAAGCATATGCTGAATGATTGACCAGGGCATGGCTTGGCATGTCACTGGCAGCAGTAAATTTCAGGAGCTTAATCAAGGGAACCTAAGGGTCAGAAGTGTCCAGAGACTGTTTTCAGATACATGAGGGGGTGCTACAAGGATAAGAACTTTAGTATCAGCCAGGCCTAGGCTTCAGACCCAATTTTGCCGCAAAGTGAGTATACTTCGTGACCCCAGGCAGGTCATTTAACTTTTCTGAGCCTCAGTTTCCTCATGTGTAGCTGGGAGATAGTCATAGTTCTCACCACATGTAACTGTTAAGAGGCTCACAACATAGTAAGCCAGGGAGTGTGAGTGGTGAAGGGTAAGGGGGAAGAAGGGAGTGGAGCTGCAGGCTTCTGCCTGGCTGGAAGAAAAGCTCACTTAGCAGAAAAGGCAGAAGGCAGGTGCTCATCTCCACCTTTCATACTGCAACCCTTTGCTCTCCTGTCCCCAGGGAGAGCCAACTCACAGGATTTTGGAGACAAGGCTCCAGATGGCAAAAGCTGTTCTGGTTTTTATGCTCAACTTGTAGACAACATTTCTACACTCTTGTCACTAGTTTGAATGTACCTCTTATTCTTAATCACATGTTTTCCTGGAAAGCTGGAAATGAAGTCCTTTTTTCTCTTAAACTTATATGAAAACCATTCAGAGTATCTTTTTTTTTTTTTTTTAAGTTTCAGCATCCGTTATTTTTTTTTTTCCTTTCCTTTTTGTTGTGATTTGGGTGAAAATTTACAGAGCAAATTCATTTTCCATACAGTAGTTCTTACACATTTTGTTTTATGACGTTGATTGCAATCCCCACAATGTAACAGCTCTCCTGCCACTTCCTCCCTGTAGTTACCTCTTCCCTGTGTCCTTTCCTATCCATTCCTGCTCAGGGCATCTTTCCCTTTAGTTCTGATTCTCTAATTAGTCTTGTGTCTCTGTAAGAACTTTTCTCAATATTGTCTAACATCTTATTAACAAACAATAGATTATATACTAGGGGTTTTCTATTTAAAGAAATCCTAAACTTAAAACTTTTTGAGAGTTGACCAAATGATCTCCTGTCATTGGTTTTAGATTCAGATGTTCCTGTATTGGATTTGTTAGACAAAGAAGATGGCAATGAGAGAGGAGAAGCTGACCTGGCTGTAGCTCCCCAGTGGGCTATGTTCCTGGGTACCAAGGCCAGAGCTACTGAATCAGCATCTCTGAAATTTCAGTAGCCCAGGCATCTGTATTTTATAAGTATCCTCGGTGACTCTGATGCACAGGAACATCTGATCATCACTGGGCTAGATTACTCTTGCCCCTTGTTCCTCCTACCCCCAGCTGGGATTTCTGTGCAGGTTCTGTGGGGGCTTTGAAAATTGGAGATGCCCATGGAGACCTTGCAGAGAATTTCCCACCAACCCTTTGGTGATCTGGGTGCAGTTATACTATAAATACTGCATATTGCCAGCAGAACACCTGAAGAAATCATTTTGAGTGGAGAGTGTGACAGAAAGGAAAATTATGAGGTATACATACCATCCACAGTGATAAGGTATTAGAAAACCATTGCAGCCAAATTAGAACGTGTAGGAATTGCATGCCAATTTTAATGTCTTAGCCCTTAGGCTAACCTCTGTACCAGATAATGGGACTTAGCCCACAGCATCAGTTGCATTTCAGCATTTTTCTATTAGCCATCAAAACTTGATGTCTCTTTGCTTTTTCCCTGGGGTACCACAGGTGATGTTTGTCCAGCCTGTGTTCTGCTCCGTTGTTCTGAATACTGTGTGATTTGTTTTTCCTGACAGCTTGAATAAGAACGTGCCTATTTTCGTGTGTACTATGGCCTATCCCACCGTTCCTTGTCCCTTGCACATCTTTGAGCCTTGTTACCGTCTGATGATTCGTAGATGCATTGAGACAGGCACAAGACAGTTTGGCATGTGCCTTGAAGATCCTGTTAAAAGGTAAGTGAGGAGTTAAGCGATTAAAAGGAGGTTGGGTGAAGAGGGTTTATTTTGACTTAGGGGTGTTCCCAGGAGACAGAGAGGCACTGCTCGTGAAACTTAGCCAGCTCAAGACATAAGCATTTGTAAGGATCAGGGTCCCTCCATCCCCTTGGTTCCCATCTGCAAGGCTGCCTATTTCAAAGAGCCTTAGGCCTAATCTTTTGTTATACGTTGGTATATATTATACAACTTGTTAAAGAGTGTAGGCCCTTGACTTAAACTGCCTGGGTTCATATTCTGGCTCCAGCCATTGAAGTAAGTTTGACCTTGAGCAAGTTTCTTTACTTTTCCATAACTCAGTTAGGATCCTTATCTGTAAACTCAGTAAAATAATAGTGTTTCCATCATTGCATTTGTTGGGAGGATTGATGAATTAATATACATAAAGCATTAAGCACAGTTCCTGGCACATAGTATGTGCTCAATAAATGGTAGCTGTCATAATAATACGTTAAGATTTTTTCTCATGCAGGTGTCACTCCTATTGTATAATTGCAGCTGTAGACCTGGGACAGGCAAATTGCCAGAAGTCCATTGAGGCATATCATGGGTTTACAGAAATGGCTGGGGGCAAGGCTAATGAAACTGAATTTACCAAGGCTCTACTTTCTTAACTCTACTCTCAATAAACAGGTTTGCAGAATATGGCTGCATGCTAGAGATTAGAAATGTTCAGTTCTTTGCTGATGGCCGCTCAGTGGTTGACAGCATAGGCAAGAGGCGCTTCAAGGTGCTCCATCAGGGCCGGCGGGATGGTTACAACACGGCTGACATTGAATACATCGAAGACCAAAAGGTAAGTGGCCATTCCATCCAAATCCCAAAGCCAGAATATCCCTGTAACTTGGCATACGAAGATGGTTGTGAAAGAATTTCTCAGAACTGTTGGGGGCCTTGGGATGCCTTATTAAATTGTCACAGCAGTGTTGTAGACTATTCAGTTGTAGGGTGGTTGTGGACACCATTGTCCTGGCTCTCCCTGTATATCTGCTGAGTTGCATTCATGTGTAAGAAATGCTACCAAGCCAACCCTAAGACCCATTCAGGGTTTAGGTCCCTGCCAAGGGTACCAAGGGACACATCTAGAGTGGGGTCTGCTTATGTGTATTTACTTGTTTAACTTTTTATTTTGAAGCAGTTGTAGATTCACACATGCATATGTTTTCAAATGTGTAACCTGACTAAGAGCCCTTCCCCATAATCCATCATCCCATAAAGTAGAAATATTGTATATCCAATTAGTCCTTGGTTTTCTGAGCTAATGAATGGAAGAAGAGGTACATAATCCCATGTTTGTTTCTATTTGCATTCACAGCAGAGTACAGCATTATTCAATATTTGATCAATGAATAAATATATTTGGCTTAAAAAATGGTTGTACACTGAGACATAGACACATTCGTGTCTCTTTTCTTAGTGAGCAATGGGAAAACAGATGTAAAAAGTGCAAACAGCAGAAGTAGACATCAGCATCACATAGTTTAACAGCAGCCCCCCACTTGAGGCAGTTGGAATCTCTGCTTTTCTGTACCTCTCGCTGTTTCAGCTGATTTGCCCAGCTGAGCCTTTCCCCTTTCTCCACCCCCAGAGCTGTCTATACACACTGTTTACACATATGGCCTAGAAAGCTGGATGAGTGACCCTTCCCATAAGGTGACAGGATGGATACTCAGATAGTCTAGTTCCAAAAGTGATTCTGGGAGTGATCTAGAGGATACGGAATGCTTCACTTCTACTTTGATAATTCCAGGTTCAGGGAGAGGACTCTGCTGAGCTGATGACATTACATAATTCTGTGTATGAGCAAGCATCATTGTGGTTTCATTCACTCAAATCATCTCTGCAGAATCGAATACTCCGTCACTTTGGTCCAATGCCAGAGAAAGATGCTGATCCACAGGTATATAAAAATTTCTATTTACAATGGATTTCCCTACGAGATGAGAGTATGAGAGAGCCTAGGGTTTGTGGTTAGATGGCTGTATGATTGCCGTCCAGTGAAGCAAGTGCAGAGAGGAAGATGGATCCAATTAGGTACTATTGTTTGGGAAGTAGGCACCATGGGTAAGACCAAAAGGATCCCAAGTCAGAACAGGGATAACTAAAGTAAAGCAGTAAGAATTGGAACTCAAGACAAATTGTGAGCGAGAGATCATGTGAGAGAACAGGAGCACGGGCACCACCAATAGAACTTTCAGTGGAAGTCCAGACTTACACTGTGGTAATGTGTTAGGAGGACAAGACATATGCAGAGGCCGGGGCTTAGGAGAAGGCTATCCTGGGAGCTGAGACCAAAGCTTCCAGAAAGCTTCATAACTCTCTCCCCTATTGCTGCAGGAGGTAGGAGGTAGGACCAACTACCTTACAAAATTCTAGCTGCAAGACCACAGGCATTTTTTCATATTCAGACCCTGCCACTTTAGCCCTCCAGGTCTAGACCCTTGTTGACCTCAGTTTGGAGGGAGTAGTTCCAGAGAAAACTGACTCAATCTCTAAATTTACCCTTGGCTGTTATCTTAGAAAGCAGTTCATTAGATTCTACTGGATCAGTCGGTTTTGGGATAGGGGGTGGGGGATGGGTTCATGTTAGAGATTAAGCTGCCGATGAGAAGTTCTCCGAGAAACTGGAGAGAGTGCACTTTCGCCAGTCTTTGCTTGCCTGGTATAAACCACTGAATATTTGAAGGGAATTCCACTTTAGGGAATACTTTATTTTTAGGACACAGTTGGAGATATTTTAACAAAGGATGTCCCACCATCACCTTTGCCCATATTCTAAGCTGGCTCTCCAACACAATTACCTCTAAAACTTTGGTAATTCATTACTTACCCTCGTTCCCTACTCTTTCATAACTTAACAATCTGAATATGCATGTTCTGTCTTCTCTGCCTGAGACTCTTCCTGCTTACCTCTTGAGCTGTGACCTTGGGTGAGTCCCTTCCCTTCTGAGCTTTTCTCTCATTTCTTGAACTCTGAGGCTGATGACACCCATCTGCTCTAATGGTCTGAAGTGTCTTGCTTTTTCCAGACCAAAAATGTGCCTCCTTTTTCCCATGCAAAGGCGTTGTGAGTATTGAAGGAAGTTAATGCTTCCCACTGACCCAACTCTTGGCTCTGGGCCGCTGTGACTCAAGACTACAGCAAAGCTCTGAGCAAGCTCATGATCAAGCTTAATGTTCCCCTTCACCTTCTGGAAAACATTCTCTTTTGAGTCAAGCAAAAGATAGATTAACAATGATGACAGCATCTTCCACAGGAGAAAAGACAGATGCCGTAGTGTGAGTCATAAGGGCTCAATGACACAGAGATCTGAAATCATAGGTTTCAATTCATTTCTTATTAAAAACCATCGTTATGTTGCTTTGGCAGCAGCAGCAATAACAACAAAAAAGTACCATCCAGTTTGCTCCAGTCAGTGCTCCAGCCCCAGTGGTCCCACTAATGAGAATGTTCTAAGCCTCAGGAGGATATTTATTAGAAACAGCCCCAAATACTAACAGAAGCTTAAGTCTTTGTTAATGATCTTGGAAAAGAAACTGCTAATATTCAGAGCTGATAATAGAAGGGAGAACATGGTACAGTGAGGGTCAAAAAGATACAGAGAGGCAAAGACGTCATGGACTTGTAGGGGCATCAGATGAACCAGTTTGGGGCCAAAGAATCTGAGGTGTTGGTGGCTTGACCAGAATGTGTTTCTCTAAAACCAACCTTCTGAAAATAATGGGTGGAGAGATCTAAACAGCCTTACAAGTGGAAGAGATTGAGTTGTGGATATTCCAACTCATAAAATTACACTGGCTAGGAGGCATGGTATATTGTTAGGATATTGATCTGTTTGCTTTAACAAATACCAAAAATAACTAGCTTAAACACGGATAGAGGGCATAAGGCCTAGAGGGGTGGTTGCTGTTGTTATGTATCTTCAAGTTGATTCCAACTCACAGTGACCCTGTAGGACAGTAGAACTGCCCCACAGAGTTTCCTAAGCTGGGAGGAAATCGACAAGTTGTTTCTCTCGAGGAGCAGCTGGTGGGTTTGAACAGCGGACCTTTCAGTTTGCAGCTGAGTGCTTATTAACCTTTGCACCACCAGAGTTCTTCCTGGAGGGGTAAGGCAGCTCTATTCCATGAACTTATTCAGGGACCCAGGCTCCTTCATCACAAAGCTCTGTCATCCGTAGAAGGTTGCTTTCATCTTCATTGAAGAAGGCTCATCATCATCAAGTTCATGTCCTGGCTAGAGGAAAGGGGGAGAAAGAAGGCAGCAGAGAGCACATGCTCCTTTCTTAGAACATGACTCAGAAGTTACACATACCACTTCCTTTTATATCTCATTAGCCAGAACTTTATCTTAGGGCCTCACCTAGCCCTAAGGGAGTCTGGGAAATGCAGTCTTTATTTTGGGTGGCTGGATGCCAGCTAAAATAGGGGAAAATTGATATGGGAGCAATTAGCAGCCTCTGTCACACATAGAAGCATTCCACCTGAGATGTTTACCTAGAGGCTTTGGAAATCTGAAGACTGGTTCACTTCCACAAGAACAGGGTGAACTCATTGCGTTTCTCTGTTGCAGATTAATCCGAATGGCCCGGCCTGGTGCTGGTGGATATTAGCAGTTCTCCCGCTGGAAAGCCGAGCTCAGCTCCCATTCTTAGCAATGAGGTCCTTAAAGGATAGACTGAACGGTATTCGGCGAGTCCTGACCTTCATGACCCGAAATCAAAACTAGTAAGAAGGGATCGCTGATAAGGAGCACTTGCCCTCTTCACTGCCCCTGAGGAGTTTTGTTGTAAATGTATGTAATTGCAATAAGATCTTTGCAGAAGGGAATATCAAACAGAGGTATTACCCTGCTGTGGGTCACAGGGAGAAATTGAGTGAAAAGAATGTGACCTATTTGACACTTTATGTTTCAAGATGTTCTTGACATGCTTCACTACTCCATGAACAGCAAAGGTGTTGAAGATTCGAGCCCAGAAGTTTTTTTAAAAAGTCTTTTTCCATACAATTTTCTGAAAGTTTAAAGCGATACTGCTTTAATTTTCTTTCTTTCATAGGTAAATTACTGTGTGATTGAAATGTGAAGCAGAGATACTAATGTTGCTGCATTATTTCACTGACTTGAGGTCTCATTCCAAATGGTTCAGGTTTTATATAGCCTTGTATAAAATAATTGACAGCCTTCCTGTTTTAGTAATTTATTTTTTTTGCACTACTGTATCCTTTTTTTCTACATGTATGTTTGTAACTATTTAAGTGTCCATTACTGAAAAGTTAATTGCTTTATTTATTGATGTGGTTTACTGTGGACAAATGAATAGGGTGAAGTAACAATACTAGAAACATGCAACTTTTTGCTTTAACCATTTTTTTACTGCATTTGATCCCAGTTTTTGTACCATTTTTTATATTTATCCAATTGAATGTTTAAAAGAAGTTCAGAATGATGCGAAGATACTTTGTCTTCACAGATTGCCTTCCCCCACCTCCCCAGTTTGAAATTCAACAATCAAAGCTACTTAAGGGATTTGGCATAGATGTGGCATGTGCCAGAATAAAGTAGAATGCTCCATTTTTCTGTGTGATACAGAGCAAGACTGAAGGAATTTGTTTTCTGGACTGAAGAGCTGAATCAGAGGCACTGATTGTAGCCATCTAACTTTAAGTGTATCTAATTTTTCCCAATGTGGTTAAGGATGTAGTTTAGGGAGGATAGTACTTAACCCTTCATGGGGTATAGTGTTCATTCTGGCACATCACAGCCTTGCCCAGCTAACCTCCACACCCTACCTCTTCTCAGGGTTCCGAGTATGAAGACTTGGGCTAACATAAAGGGAAGTACTTTATGAAGGACTGTTGGATTTAAAACTGTAAAGAAGCCAGATAGGCTGGAACTCTTTAAAAAGTCTTTTTAAAGGAACTAGACAGTTAATCCATGATTTCATCTATACACTGCCTTTCCTCCCAGTTAAACATTTCAATATAGGCAAAGAATAGAGGGTAAGGAGGTGAGAGTAAGCACTTACTTAACTTTGTTTGTACAAGTTTGATTCTTTCAGTGTGAGGAGAACTTGAAAAATCCTGCAAGTATTGATGAAGTGAAAAGACTAGGGCAGGGAAGAAGTGAATTGTGCCATTTGTACTATGGCCAAAATTATTCTTCCCCCACTTGAACCCGGACATGTCACCACAGTAGGACAAACCGACAGACAAGTTTGTCTTGCTGTTGGAGACCTCTTGT